CAGTGATCTGAACAGCGGCACGTTCCTCCTCACAGCCGCCAGTGACAGCCAGCAGCCTGAGATGCCATAGCAACCCAGGCGTCCCTCACGGCATCAGGGGGACCCCTTTGTTCCTCGTCCTGGCCCCCCTGTGCCCCATAGCGGTCACCTGGGTGGCTATGGCGATAGTTCCGTCACTGGCCAGAGCGAAGAGGGGATCAGCCTAGCAGCTCGGAGGGAGACGACTAGCATGGGGGGGCCAACTAAGTAAATCTGCTTTACTCCAGTAACCTAGACAAAAAGTGAGCATTTAACCCTTAAGGTGCAGGGGTAGTCCCACTGCAAGGGTAGTTTTTGGCTTGTCAGGAGATGAGCTATATTCGTATTTATGACTGTATAACTGCATCAATCGGTGTTGTTTTAGACCTGCCCGAAGTTCAGTGCTGCACTAACACTCACAATACCTTCATCTCACTGCCATCAGGCAGAACAGTGAAGTAATTAATTAGCACGGAATGCTAAACCCTATCTGTAGACGGTAATTGCACATGCTGTTTGGAAAACAGATATAGCAACAAGCCTGTCTATTTTCGCTGCTCCACTTTCATTATCTTGTGGATCAATGTAAATTGAGGGTAAACAGAGAGCTAGAGATATAGGGAAGTGGGCTAACGTCTAGGGCTTAAGTGTAGCAAACTCAGCCAAAACCTAATAGCCTGAAGGACTGAATGGAGAAGAGTCTACTAGGCAGGCAGCAGTGCTGACTGCTGAAGTTCTACATCGGGGTAGGCAACCTTGGCACTCCAGTTGTTGTGGAACTACAAGTCTTGTTAAACATTCCATGACTGACAGCCACAGACATGACTCCCAGAGGCATGCCGGGATTGGTAGTTTGAGTTGCCGAGGTTGCCTGCCCCTGTTCTACGTGCTCTAAGCCCCCATGTGAATGCAGGCTAATAGGGTGATCTGATAGTGACAGCTCATACTATTAGCCCGGGGCTGTTTTCAATTCATCGGCCCCTGTCAGACCATTGGAGACGTGTATAAGATTCTGAGTACACAAGACATTTGGGTTTCGTTTTTAAAAAGGGTTTATGAAGGCTAAACTCAAGGATAAGTTAATATTGTCTAAATACAAGAGGCATGTGTATTCTTAATTGAATCTTGGTGTGCTTTGTGTATTTCTTCCAGATCTGTGTAGTAATCCTGTGTAAAATGTTGCCTCTGTGCAGCAGCTTCCTGTAATAAAGACCAGTCACTGCTGCTCTTTCTTTTTGTGTAAGGTGACTGGTCTTGTATCCGCCCCTTCTTGTACTTTTCTGCAGTCTGTAGTGAGTGGGGCCTTCTCGGCCCCTCCCGCAGCTCTGCTCTCTACACAGGCTATGTACAGTTCAGTGATGAAGGCATTAGGCGAACACAAAGTGGATTTGTATCCTTTTTGGCTATAGAAGAATATATTTTATTTTTTTGTGCCCGGTGTTCAGCTTGAAGCATTTCTGCAGTGTTGGATATTTGCATTGGATCCAATGCAGTGATATACACTTATGACCCGAATGACCTATATGAAGGTGGCAGATAACAATCCTTGCAGGTACAAGGAGTGTGCATGCGTATTGTGTAGGATCATTTGATTATATTAAAGTAAACCTCTATTGAGAGAAATACAAAGGCTGCCATTGCTGTTCACCTTCTAAAAATAAAAAGTCTAAGCAAAGCTGAGAATTTATAGCAGAAATCAGGGCAAAAGTGTTCCTAACCCTTGCAGAAGGGCTACCCCTATACTGCAAGAGTTAAGTCCTTGTTTTCGTCTGGGTGCTAAAAATAGAGAGTTATACTCACCCCAACCGCAGAGGCATTGGGCTACTTACTGCTACGGTCCCTGAAGCCTGTCTCCTCCTCAACTCCAGTGATGGAATGTCCGTCGGCACTCGGCATCCTCACATCCCATACACTTTGTATAGAGCGTGATGATTCAGGAATCCTTAAACCGCTTCAGCAGGCGACGGGGTGAGTTTGGAGCGAGGCTGTAAGGACCGGTCTAAGAGCAAGAGCTGGACTATTGTATTTTGACATCCTGCACCTGCGGACATCAGAATACCTGAACAATGATTTCCGCAGTCACTGTTCAGCCTGGCTTCTTCGACACACGTAGACAGAGTAATCACTATTTGTCAAGCCTGCAGGGCCACCCACTGTTAAGCTGACCATACTCTATGTGAATTTCGGATGGTTCTTCATGCACCCTTCCTGCCGGCATCCCTTGATCAGAATAATGGAGTATCAGGTTGGAAAATCTTTGAATGAATGTTGTTTGCATCCATTCAGCTGCAAGCACCGTCCGTGTATTCTGACAAAGTCAGCGGCCACTGTCAGAACACAAAGGAAACAGCGGGTGATTCATTCATCAAGCATCTGTTTCATTTTCTTCAGTTGAACAAACAAAAACAAAAAATAGAACAGTGTATGGCCAGCTTCAGAATTTGAGCTGATTCACAGGAACTTATAACAGTGTATGGCCAGCTTTACTTACTATAAAGATCTTTGAAATGCAGAATTTTTTTTTGTGATCCCCTGTGCCCCCCTGGAGCCTGGGGTCCCAAAGAGCAGCCCATTTTGCTACTGTATGGAATGTATTATTATCACAGAGAGCAATGGGGAAATTAGCACGGATTGAAAGAAGGAGAAGATGTTGGAACTGAGAAAGCTGCGGATAAGGAAAAGTGTGAAGAAAAAATGATGTGGGAGGACAGACAAAGTTTGAGTTATAAAACAGATAAAGCCTTGCTAGGGTCAGTGAAAGTGCTTAAAGGGCAAGTAAGGATACAGTACAGAGAATCAGTATAGGCAATGTAGAGCTGTATATGTCATAGATCGGTCTCATGGCTCATCCCTGTGCTCTGGATACCTGTATGGAGGCAATGAAACTCTCCCAAGCCCAGACTGTACGTGAGTGCTCCCATTGCACGATGCACTAGGATGTCTTTTTGTAGCAAGCACTTGTGTGATCAGCTGAGGAGCCGTCCAGTGTCAGCTCTTTGTCTATGACCTCCCCTCTGTGATCAGCACGGGATCAGAGGAATCAGATGATGCTTCCTCTACACATCCAGCACTACCAGCAGCCTCATTTGGATCACACTCCAGACGATTTAGGCACGCTTGTGTGTTGCAGGAGCAAAAAAAAAAAAACACAGGGGGGGGGGGGCTGGGGAAGAAAAAAAAGAAAACAGCAAAGCTGAGAATTTATAGCAGAAATCAGGGCAAAAGTGTTCCTAACCCTTGCAGAAGGGCTACCCCTATACTGCAAGAGTTAAGTCCTTGTTTTCGTCTGGGTGCTAAAAATAGAGAGTTATACTCACCCCAACCGCAGAGGCATTGGGCTACTTACTGCTACGGTCCCTGAAGCCTGTCTCCTCCTCAACTCCAGTGATGGAATGTCCGTCGGCACTCGGCATCCTCACATCCCATACACTTTGTATAGAGCGTGATGATTCAGGAATCCTTAAACCGCTTCAGCAGGCGACGGGGTGAGTTTGGAGCGAGGCTGTAAGGACCGGTCTAAGAGCAAGAGCTGGACTATTGTATTTTGACATCCTGCACCTGCGGACATCAGAATACCTGAACAATGATTTCCGCAGTCACTGTTCAGCCTGGCTTCTTCGACACACGTAGACAGAGTAATCACTATTTGTCAAGCCTGCAGGGCCACCCACTGTTAAGCTGACCATACTCTATGTGAATTTCGGATGGTTCTTCATGCACCCTTCCTGCCGGCATCCCTTGATCAGAATAATGGAGTATCAGGTTGGAAAATCTTTGAATGAATGTTGTTTGCATCCATTCAGCTGCAAGCACCGTCCGTGTATTCTGACAAAGTCAGCGGCCACTGTCAGAACACAAAGGAAACAGCGGGTGATTCATTCATCAAGCATCTGTTTCATTTTCTTCAGTTGAACAAACAAAAACAAAAAATAGAACAGTGTATGGCCAGCTTCAGAATTTGAGCTGATTCACAGGAACTTATAACAGTGTATGGCCAGCTTTACTTACTATAAAGATCTTTGAAATGCAGAATTTTTTTTTGTGATCCCCTGTGCCCCCCTGGAGCCTGGGGTCCCAAAGAGCAGCCCATTTTGCTACTGTATGGAATGTATTATTATCACAGAGAGCAATGGGGAAATTAGCACGGATTGAAAGAAGGAGAAGATGTTGGAACTGAGAAAGCTGCGGATAAGGAAAAGTGTGAAGAAAACATGATGTGGGAGGACAGACAAAGTCTGAGTTATAAAACAGATAAAGCCTTGCTAGGGTCAGTGAAAGTGCTTAAAGGGCAAGTAAGGATACAGTACAGAGAATCAGTATAGGCAATGTAGAGCTGTATATGTCATAGATCGGTCTCATGGCTCATCCCTGTGCTCTGGATACCTGTATGGAGGCAATGAAACTCTCCCAAGCCCAGACTGTACGTGAGTGCTCCCATTGCACGATGCACTAGGATGTCTTTTTGTAGCAAGCACTTGTGTGATCAGCTGAGGAGCCGTCCAGTGTCAGCTCTTTGTCTATGACCTCCCCTCTGTGATCAGCACGGGATCAGAGGAATCAGATGATGCTTCCTCTACACATCCAGCACTACCAGCAGCCTCATTTGGATCACACTCCAGACGATTTAGGCACGCTTGTGTGTT